AGGACCGGACTGGTTCAATGGAGACTAGGAGGTCAGCGTAGCCCTCATTCAGTCTGGTCTGAAGGACTCGTCAGAACCGCACTGCTTTAATAGAGACTAGGAGGTCAGCGTAGCCCTCATTCGGTCTGGTCTGAAGGACTCGTCAGGACCGGACTGGTTTAATGGAGACTAGGAGGTCAGCGTAGCCCTCATTCAGTCTGGTCTGAAGGACTCGTCAGGACCGGACTGGTTTAATAGAGACTAGGAGGTCAGCGTAGCCCTCAGTCGGTCTGACGGACTCGTCAGGACCGGACTGGTTTAATAGAGACTAGGAGGTCAGCGTAGCCCTCATTCAGTCTGGTCTGAAGGACTCGTCAGGACCGGACTGGTTTAATAGAGACTAGGAGGTCAGCGTAGCCCTCATTCAGTCTGGTCTGAAGGACTCGTCAGAACCGCACTGCTTTAATAGAGACTAGGAGGTCAGCGTAGCCCTCATTCGGTCTGGTCCGAAGGACTCGTCAGGACCGGACTGGTTTAATGGAGACTAGGAGGTCAGCGTAGCCCTCATTCAGTCTGGTCCGAAGGACTCGTCAGGACCAGACTGGTTTAATGGTGACTAAGAGGTCAGCGTAGCCCTCATTCAGTCTGGTCCGAAGGACTCGTCAGGACCGGACTGGTTTAATGGTGACTAAGAGGTCAGCGTAGCCCTCATTCAGTCTGGTCCGAAGGACTCGTCAGGACCGGACTGGTTTAATGGAGACTAGGAGGTCAGCGTAGCCCTCATTCAGTCTGGTCCGAAGGACTCGTCAGGACCGGACTGGTTCAATGGAGACTAGGAGGTCAGCGTAGCCCTCATTCAGTCTGGTCTGAAGGACTCGTCAGGACCTGACTGGTTTAATAGAGACTAGGAGGTCAGCGTAGCCCTCAGTCGGTCTGGTCTGACGGACTCGTCAGGACCGGACTGGTTTAATGGAGACTAGGAGGTCAGCGTAGCCCTCATTCAGTCTGGTCCGAAGGACTCGTCAGGACCGGACTGGTTTAATGGAGACTAGGAGGTCAGCGTAGCCCTCATTCAGTCTGGTCCGAAGGACTCGTCAGGACCGGACTGGTTCAATGGAGACTAGGAGGTCAGCGTAGCCCTCATTCAGTCTGGTCCGAAGGACTCGTCAGGACCGGACTGGTTTAATAGAGACTAGGAGGTCAGCGTAGCCCTCAGTCGGTCTGGTCTGACAGACTCGTCAGGACCGGACTGGTTTAATGGAGACTAGGAGGTCAGCGTAGCCCTCATTCAGTCTGGTCTGAAGGACTCGTCAGGACCGGACTGGTTTAATGGAGACTAGGAGGTCAGCGTAGCCCTCATTCAGTCTGGTCTGAAGGACTCGTCAGGACCGGACTGCTTTAATGGAGACTAGGAGGTCAGCGTAGCCCTCATTCAGTCTGGTCTGAAGGACTCGTCAGGACCGGACAAGTTTAATGGTGACTAGTAGGTCAGCGTAGCCCTCATTCAGTCTGGTCTGAAGGACTCGTCAGGACCGGACTGGTTTAATAGAGACTAGGAGGTCAGCGTAGCCCTCATTCAGTCTGGTCTGAAGGACTCGTCAGGACCGGACTGGTTTAATAGAGACTAGGAGGTCAGCGTAGCCCTCAGTCGGTCTGGTCTGACGGACTCGTCAGGACCGGACTGGTTTAATAGAGACTAGGAGGTCAGCGTAGCCCTCATTCAGTCTGGTCTGAAGGACTCGTCAGGACCGGACTGGTTTAATAGAGACTAGGAGGTCAGCGTAGCCCTCATTCAGTCTGGTCTGAAGGACTCGTCAGGACCGGACAAGTTTAATGGAGACTAGGAGGTCAGCGTAGCCCTCATTCAGTCTGGTCCGAAGGACTCGTCAGGACCGGACTGGTTAAATGGAGACTAGGAGGTCAGCGTAGCCCTCATTCAGTCTGGTCCGAAGGACTCGTCAGGACCGGACTGGTTTAATGGTGACTAAGAGGTCAGCGTAGCCCTCATTCAGTCTGGTCCGAAGGACTCGTCAGGACCGGACTGGTTCAATGGAGACTAGGAGGTCAGCGTAGCCCTCATTCAGTCTGGTCCGAAGGACTCGTCAGGACCGGACTGGTTCAATGGAGACTAGGAGGTCAGCGTAGCCCTCATTCAGTCTGGTCTGAAGGACTCGTCAGGACCGGACTGGTTTAATAGAGACTAGGAGGTCAGCGTAGCCCTCAGTCGGTCTGGTCTGACGGACTCGTCAGGACCGGACTGGTTTAATGGAGACTAGGAGGTCAGCGTAGCCCTCATTCAGTCTGGTCCGAAGGACTCGTCAGGACCGGACTGGTTTAATGGAGACTAGGAGGTCAGCGTAGCCCTCATTCAGTCTGGTCCGAAGGACTCGTCAGGACCGGACTGGTTCAATGGAGACTAGGAGGTCAGCGTAGCCCTCATTCAGTCTGGTCTGAAGGACTCGTCAGAACCGCACTGCTTTAATAGAGACTAGGAGGTCAGCGTAGCCCTCATTCGGTCTGGTCTGAAGGACTCGTCAGGACCGGACTGGTTTAATGGAGACTAGGAGGTCAGCGTAGCCCTCATTCAGTCTGGTCTGAAGGACTCGTCAGGACCGGACTGGTTTAATAGAGACTAGGAGGTCAGCGTAGCCCTCAGTCGGTCTGACGGACTCGTCAGGACCGGACTGGTTTAATAGAGACTAGGAGGTCAGCGTAGCCCTCATTCAGTCTGGTCTGAAGGACTCGTCAGGACCGGACTGGTTTAATAGAGACTAGGAGGTCAGCGTAGCCCTCATTCAGTCTGGTCTGAAGGACTCGTCAGAACCGCACTGCTTTAATAGAGACTAGGAGGTCAGCGTAGCCCTCATTCGGTCTGGTCTGAAGGACTCGTCAGGACCGGACTGGTTTAATGGAGACTAGGAGGTCAGCGTAGCCCTCATTCAGTCTGGTCTGAAGGACTCGTCAGGACCGGACTGGTTTAATAGAGACTAGGAGGTCAGCGTAGCCCTCAGTCGGTCTGGTCTGACGGACTCGTCAGGACCGGACTGGTTTAATGGAGACTAGGAGGTCAGCGTAGCCCTCATTCAGTCTGGTCTGAAGGACTCGTCAGGACCGGACTGGTTTAATGGAGACTAGGAGGTCAGCGTAGCCCTCATTCAGTCTGGTCTGAAGGACTCGTCAGGACCGGACTGGTTTAATAGAGACTAGGAGGTCAGCGTAGCCCTCAGTCGGTCTGGTCTGACGGACTCGTCAGGACCGGACTGGTTTAATGGAGACTAGGAGGTCAGCGTAGCCCTCATTCAGTCTGGTCTGAAGGACTCGTCAGGACCGGACTGGTTTAATAGAGACTAGGAGGTCAGCGTAGCCCTCATTCAGTCTGGTCTGAAGGACTCGTCAGGACCGGACTGGTTTAATGGAGACTAGGAGGTCAGCGTAGCCCTCATTCAGTCTGGTCTGAAGGACTCGTCAGGACCGGACTGCTTTAATGGAGACTAGGAGGTCAGCGTAGCCCTCATTCAGTCTGGTCTGAAGGACTCGTCAGGACCGGACTGGTTTAATGGTGACTAAGAGGTCAGCGTAGCCCTCATTCAGTCTGGTCCGAAGGACTCGTCAGGACCGGACTGGTTTAATGGAGACTAGGAGGTCAGCGTAGCCCTCATTCAGTCTGGTCCGAAGGACTCGTCAGGACCGGACTGGTTCAATGGAGACTAGGAGGTCAGCGTAGCCCTCATTCAGTCTGGTCTGAAGGACTCGTCAGGACCGGACTGGTTTAATAGAGACTAGGAGGTCAGCGTAGCCCTCAGTCGGTCTGGTCTGACGGACTCGTCAGGACCGGACTGGTTTAATGGAGACTAGGAGGTCAGCGTAGCCCTCATTCAGTCTGGTCCGAAGGACTCGTCAGGACCGGACTGGTTTAATGGAGACTAGGAGGTCAGCGTAGCCCTCATTCAGTCTGGTCCGAAGGACTCGTCAGGACCGGACTGGTTCAATGGAGACTAGGAGGTCAGCGTAGCCCTCATTCAGTCTGGTCTGAAGGACTCGTCAGAACCGCACTGCTTTAATAGAGACTAGGAGGTCAGCGTAGCCCTCATTCGGTCTGGTCTGAAGGACTCGTCAGGACCGGACTGGTTTAATGGAGACTAGGAGGTCAGCGTAGCCCTCATTCAGTCTGGTCTGAAGGACTCGTCAGGACCGGACTGGTTTAATAGAGACTAGGAGGTCAGCGTAGCCCTCAGTCGGTCTGACGGACTCGTCAGGACCGGACTGGTTTAATAGAGACTAGGAGGTCAGCGTAGCCCTCATTCAGTCTGGTCTGAAGGACTCGTCAGGACCGGACTGGTTTAATAGAGACTAGGAGGTCAGCGTAGCCCTCATTCAGTCTGGTCTGAAGGACTCGTCAGAACCGCACTGCTTTAATAGAGACTAGGAGGTCAGCGTAGCCCTCATTCGGTCTGGTCTGAAGGACTCGTCAGGACCGGACTGGTTTAATGGAGACTAGGAGGTCAGCGTAGCCCTCATTCAGTCTGGTCTGAAGGACTCGTCAGGACCGGACTGGTTTAATAGAGACTAGGAGGTCAGCGTAGCCCTCAGTCGGTCTGGTCTGACGGACTCGTCAGGACCGGACTGGTTTAATGGAGACTAGGAGGTCAGCGTAGCCCTCATTCAGTCTGGTCTGAAGGACTCGTCAGGACCGGACTGGTTTAATAGAGACTAGGAGGTCAGCGTAGCCCTCATTCAGTCTGGTCTGAAGGACTCGTCAGGACCGGACTGGTTTAATGGAGACTAGGAGGTCAGCGTAGCCCTCATTCAGTCTGGTCTGAAGGACTCGTCAGGACCGGACTGCTTTAATGGAGACTAGGAGGTCAGCGTAGCCCTCATTCAGTCTGGTCTGAAGGACTCGTCAGGACCGGACTGGTTTAATGGAGACTAGGAGGTCAGCGTAGCCCTCATTCAGTCTGGTTTTCTTCCATCCCTGTCATGTGGGGATGAGTGCATTTGAACCAAGATGGCGGCTACCAAACCTTTGCTGATGGTTTCCTCTGAGGGCTGTGATTGGCTGTCAGAGGCCGTGTCAGGAGCACTCTCCTCAGTGGGCGGAGCTTCACCCGGCGGCTGCTCCTCTGAGCTCTCTGCTGTAGAAAACAAAGCACATCCTCTGCAGTCAGGTGTGGACGGAGTGGAGACCAGAGAGGTTCTGCAGGTGACCCACCTGTCTGGGTGGGAGGAGCCAGCTTCTCCTCTTCTGCCGTAGCGTTGGCCTTGCTGTCCGCGTCGGTGCCCGTCTCGTTCTTAGCTTTAGCTTTAGCTTTGGGTTTGGCAAACTTGGCCTTGTTGAGCAGGTAGTTCATCTCCCGCTGCAGCAGAGCCAGCTTGGACTCAATATCTCTGGACAGCAGAACGGGTCGCAGGTGCGGCGAGCGGTTCTCCTGCTCCGCCACCGTCTCGTTCTTCCAGGTCTGAAGAACAAAGAAGCAGAACAGAAACAGAAACTTTTGGTGTTTAGACCTTCCTTCTTCAGGGGAACTTTGGTCCAACTACTGAGCTTTACTCCAGAACTGGTCAGGAAACCACGCCCCCTTCCAGTGGCTCCACCTACCGTGGTTTCATTGATGACCTTCTCCAACATGTTCAGCTCTACTTCTGTGAAGATCTGGTCATCATCTGGAATCAGCCTGGCGCCCCTGTAGAGAGACACAGCTGAGTCCAAAGCTCAGACCATGACGGAGGATCAGTCCTCACTTCAGAACCAGCAGAGTCCGTCTAGAATCCAGTCGGACCTGGACTAGGCTCAGCTTCTGCTCTAGACCATTCCTGCAGAACCAGCAGCTTTCATTTCATCAAACATCTGCTTCTCCAGATGTTCTGCTGGTTCTGTGGAACTAAGGTACCGATTGTTACCAGAACCTTTAGGGAGTGAATGAATCCTACATCTCAGCAGAACCAAACCGGGTCTTCTTGCTTTCATCCACAGTAGACCTCAATGACGGGCCGAGCCACCGCCGCCGTGACGCCCAGAGGGGTCGAGCAGATTTCTGTTGCAGGACCGATGATGTCGGAACATTTTTATCTCTCCATCATATATTATTTATCATATTTACTCACTATAAAAGTTTTCACTCAGTCTGTTTCTCTCTGAAGGCCACATCATTCCCTGCAGGCTGGTGTTTGTAGACCAGACAGCTTCTTCCATAACAAACCAGATTCTTTCTCAGGTTTATTCATAACATGTTACTGTTTAACCAGAGTGTCTGTAATTAGTTTTGACTCTGACTGCTTACCGTTGTTGTAATTAAGGAGGAACGAACGTTGCTCAGATCAGAACAGAGCAGAATGCGGCCATTAGGGCTGCATGGTGAACTGTTCTCTCTTTGCAAAGATATGAATAAATGCGCCGACTGAGTGAAATCCATCGATCTGTTTATTTAACATGGATGAATAGTTGAATACTTTTTCCCCACGATAACTGATCTCCACCGATAGCGAGGAGAAAGCTGGAGCAGATCCATCAGAACCGGGTCATCTAGAACCTGGCCGAGTCAGAGTGGACCTTCAGAACCGACTTTTAGAGATTAAATAATCGCATTTCTTTCTCTGAGCGATCAAACTTCTGAACAGAACCTGGAAGATGGGGTCAGACCCGGTTGGAGGTCCGGCGGGGCGCTGACCTGAGGAAGAAGGCCGAGGTGTTGAGGAGGCTGTCCAGGGCGCCGAGGAGCTCGGGCCACTTCCTGCGTTCGTCCACCCTGAAGAAGACGTCCCTGCAGAGCCCTCTGAGCTGAGACAGCTTCTCCTTCAGCTCCTTGGTTCCGGCCCGGTAGCCGTCCTCATCCATCCAATCAGACGCTTCCCTCAGCTGGCCCAGGATCTGCTGAAGCTCCTCCTCCGTCATCACCTGCTGGTGGTCCTCCTGGTGAAGCTTGTCCTGCTCACATCAAGCAGACATTAAGTTAGTTCAGTTCTGATCCGTTTGGGTTCAGGTCTGTGCTCCTTCAGCGTCGGTGGCTTACCTGCGTCTCAAAGATGAACGCTTCCAGGCTGTTCAGGACCTTCTCCCTTTCTTGCTTGGCCAGATCTCTGTTGGTCAGATCCTGTAACCTGAGGAGACCCAAAGCGTTGGTTCCACAGAACCGACAGCGTCGCCATGGCAGAACAGAGACCTTAGTGGACCTACTTCTGTCTGGAGGACAACAGCTCTTCTGCTGTGGGGTCCACCACATCGTGGAGGACCAGTTCCAGAGAGACGTCCTCAGAGATCTTGGTTCTTTTCTGAGGTTTGGCCTTCTTCTCAGGCTCCACGCTTTCAGGTTTCTCTCCACCTTTTTCCTCCTGAGTGAAGACCACATTTTTTCTCAGCTGCAGCAGAGGTCCAAACACTGTTCTGAAGCCCTGCTAACCGGGCCATCATGGTGGGAGGGAACCATTTACCGGGGCCTGGGTTCTGGTGGCCGTGTCCTCTGGGTTCTCTGGGCTCTTCTCCTCATCGCCACCTTTTGATGAACCATCTTTGGTCTGGTTCTCTTGGTCCTTCTGGCCCGCGCTGCCCTCCTTCCCCGACTCTGGAGGAACTTCCTCCTCCTCCTGAACACAAAGATAGAACCGTCAGTCCGGATTCCTCTTGGGAGGCCCCTGGAGTGGGGGTCACCTACCTGGACTGGTTCTGTTGCATTGGGACTGGGCTCAGAGGATCCTCCTCCAAACAGGGTAGAAATGGTGTTGCCGAGCTCTGGAATAAAGAAACCTGGATTAGAAAGACCTCCAGAACCTGGAGACCTCTGAGAACAGGACTCTGGAATGAACGGTTCTACAGCAGGTCCAGCATTGATGCCAGAGGGTTGGTTCTGTTGGAAGTCCAGTTAAATCCTCTGATCTCAGCTATGCTTCTTCACCAAAACCTCAGAACAAAACACAGAAAACCCAGTAAAGAAAGAACGGCCAGAAACATCGGTAACACCCGCCCACCCTCTGGTCCCGCCCTCGAACCTCCTGCCCACCTTCTGCACCCCAGGGACCTCCCCCCTCCGGGCCCCGGAACCACACACCCTCCCTCGCTCCCCCAGGACCGACCGGCAGCCCAACCTCTGGGCCTTAAGGAACATCTGGTTTCTCAGGATGTTATTAATCCAATCAGCAGTGGAGTTGCTGTATCACCATAGCAACAGTGTTATGGCAGCTAGTACCCTGATGTCTTTGTCCTGATGCTGTTGGGGCCGCTAACACCCCCCAGGTTAACCTGCTGCTTAATATGTTATATAAACTGGATGCAGATGATGCTAACGCTAACTGGGTCTAGCCTGTTCATGCTTACTGGTTAGGGTGGACTCCTCCTCCTTCTCCTCCACAATGGTCTCAAAGACGGACTCCACCTGCAGGAACATGAAGGTTTCAGTGACAGACCTCAGTCCTCCACCTTCAGCAAACATTCACAGAAGAGCCATGACTGCGCTTCCAGTGAGCAACACCACCCGGGTCAGGTTCTGGGTCATTCTGGCCCTCAGACCCGTTTACAGTAGAGGAACTGACCCGATCCAGAAGCAGGACTCCGCTTTCATCCATGTTGAAATGAGCTTTGATTCCTTTGGACTCAGCGTCCGCATGCTTCTGGAAGCTCTCGCCCACTCCGGACAGCTTGACCGTGGTCAGGTTCAGCGAGCCGAAGATGCTGGGAAACAGAGGCATGCTGGGAAATTACTGACTGAGTCTGAGAGGAACATCAAAGTGGACCGGCCCAGCGGAGCAGACCTGAGGTCCTCCTGGCTGAGGAAGCTGAGGTCTCCGTAGTTGATGTTGAAGGTGAAGTCGTCGGTGTAGCGGTTGAAGGTGATGACTTTACGCTGGGGGTACGGCGCCATCCTCTGGAACAGGATGCGCTTGCTGTGCTTCAGGACTTTGATCCCTTCTTCTTCCTCCACCTCCCGGTTGAACTCCACCTGAAGGAACAAACCGTCCAGCTCAGCAGGTCAGGCTAAAGCTGCACGCAGCAAAGGACAGAGAATCTTCTGGAAATAAAAGCGCTGAAAGGTTTTCAATCAAGAAGTTCTCTTTAAATGCATTCAATCAATGAGACCAGAGCAAAGGCCAACTGGTTCTGGAGCAGCTCAGACCTGAATGGGGAAGATGGCCGCATCCCGGACCAGGAAAGGTTTGACCTTGAAGGCTTTGCTGAGGGCCGCCGCCTGGTACACGGCCCCCAGCGCCGCCGCCTCGTCGGCGTTGATGTTCTTCCCCAGCTCCTCCCTGCAATCAAAACCACATCAGACCTCCACAGCCAATCAGATCCACTAAGACGGTTTCTGCCGGCACATACTTCCCCACAGCTTTCAGCAGCACCTCCTGGACCTTGGGGACACGTGTGGCTCCACCCACTAAGATCACCTGCTCCAAGTCTTCCTGTGGACAGAAAAACATCCTACAGTCACAGCTAGATCAAAGGGTTTCCCTCACAGCGAGTTCAGCCAATCAGAGATGACCTCTGACAGGGACAGAGGGAGAGACGTGGGGTTGGACAGAAACGGTGCGGTTTGGATCCACAGGACTCACTGACCAGCTTTAGTTCAGCCGCTGTGAGGGCCTCCAGCACCGGTCCAGGGACTCGTTCAAACAGATCAGCACACAGATCTTCAAACTCCGCTCTGGTCACCTTGGCTTTGAAATCTATATCGTCCATCAATCCTTCTACCTGCAGGAAGAGGAAAGCAGGTCAGGAATCCAGTTCAGTCCTGATCCGTAGATACATGTCCTCTACAGACTAGGAGTGTCTCTGTCCTACAGGAAGACCAGAGGGAAACCTCAGAGACACTATTCCCCTTCACAGGTTGATGATTTTGTTGATGGGGTTGCTACTTCTCTGCGTACAAGAAGCTCTTTTGAAAATGAAAACTGTTATAAATAGAAATCTGGCTCTTTGGTTTAATGCAGAGCTGAGCACTTTGAAGGAAAATACTAGGAAACTGGAGAGAAAATATCGCTCCACAGGCCTACGGGAATCCTACCTAGTGTGGAAAAATAGTTTACTGCTGTATAAGAGGACCCTTTGTAAAGCAAGAGCAGCATACTTCTCCTCATTAATAGAGGAGAATAAGAATAATCCTAGATTTCTTTTTAATACAGTTGCCAAACTCACCCAGAGCCATAGCTCTGTTGAACCGTCCATTCCACCTGCTCTTAACAGCAATGATTTTATGGGATTCTTTATAAATAAGATTGATCTTATTAAAAATAAGATCATTAGCACTCCTCCATCTGTGATTGGTTTGTCTCTGGAGGGTGGGGCAGCATCTGAGGTAGTCATGGAATCTGAACCGGGTTTAGACTGCTTTGATCCAGTTGAACTTTCAGAGTTAGAAAACTATTGTCTTCATCTAAGCCTTCAACTTGTATGTTAGATCCAGTTCCAACCAGGTTATTTAAGGAGGTATTCCCTTTGATCTCCTCCTCCATTTTAGATGTGATTAATCTATCTCTGTTACAGGGATATGTACCTAAAGCTTTTAAGGTTGCTGGAATTAAACCTCTGCTTTAGAAACCGTCTCTTGACCCAGATGACTTGGTCAATTATAGACCTATATCCAATCTTCCTTTCTTATCCAAAATTCTTGAGAAAGTAGTTGCCAAACAAGTTTGTGATCACTTCCACCATAATGAACTTTTTGAAGAGTTTCAGTCTGGCTTTAGAGCTCATCATAGCACTGAAACAGCTCTGGTGAAAGTCACTAATGATATTCTCATGGCCTCAGATAATGGACTTGTATCTGTGCTCGTCCTGTTGGATCTTAGTGCTGCATTTGATCCAGTTGATCAGAATATTTTTTTAGAAAGACTTGAATATTTTGTTGGAATTAAAGGAACAGCTCTAGACTGGTTTAAATCTGATCTATCTGATTGAATTCAGTCTGTTCACGTTAATGACAGATCTTCCTCATGCTCAAAGGTTACCTGTGGAGTACCACAGGGATCAGTGCTAGGACCAATTCTCTTTACTTTATACATGCTATCAATCGGTAGAATTATTAGACAGCATGGGATTAATTTCCACTGTTATGCTGATGATACCCAGCTATATCTGTCTATAAATCCAGATGAAGCTAACCCATTACATAGATTACAGGCATGTCTGAAGACATAAAAACCTGGATGACTCTTAACTTTCTGCTTCTGAATGCAGACAAAACAGAAGTTATAGTCTTTGGACCAGAGTCTTTGAAAAAGAAGCTGATTAGTCAGTCACTTCATTTGGATGGGATTAAACTGATTTCAGATAATAAAGTAACAAATCTTGGTGTTATTTTTGATCAGGACCTGTCATTTAAATCCCATATCAAAGAGGTTTCTAGAATTTCCTTCTTTCATCTGAGGAATATTGCAAAAATGAGAAATCTCCTGTCCAGGGGTGATGCTGAGAAACTAGTCCATGAATTTGTTACTTCAAGGCTGGACTATTGTAATTCTTTACTATCAGGAAGTCCACAAACTGTAGTTAAAAGCCTTCAGCTGATCCAAAATGCTGCAGCCAGAGTTCTGATGAAAATTAAAAAGAGAGATCATATCTCTCCTATCCTGGCTTCTCGATATTGGCAAAAAAATGCGTATCGGCAAAGCATGTAAAATGCCGATCCAGACTGCCGATCCAGTTTAAAAAAAAAATCTGGTCCGTATTTTCCAGTTTCGCCGATTGAAACGATCCATTCCACTATTTTGCGCCAGTGTTTCCCTGTTTTGCATTTTTATCAAAACTTACAGTAATACTTGCACCTTTAACTGTTTACAGTTTTACTGCTCATTATGCAATTTCAGATTGCTATTCATAATTTTGTCCAGTTTGTGTTTATCTCTTAATAAACAGGTAAGTTTGTTGTTACCAAGCATTGTGTTTTATTCAATCTCACCTAATTCAGCTGGCTAGATGTTATCAAGAGTACTAAAACCCTTTTCAACATGAGTCTTACTACTAAGGCTAAATACTTTAACTTAAACTTAAATACATGCTCGGATAGGCTGGTATCGGCCAGTATCGGTATCGGATCGGAAGTGCCAAATCCTGGATCGGGACATCTCTAATCTGATTGTTCCTTATGTTCCTAACAGAGCACTTCGCTCCCAATCTGCAGGTTTACTAGTGGTTCCTAGAATTTCTAAAAGTAGAATGGGAGGCAGATCTTTTAGTTATCAGGCTCCTCTCCTGTGGAACCAACTACCAGTTTTAGTCCGTGAGGCAGACACCCTGTCTACTTTTAAGGCTAGGCTTAAAACTTTCCTTTTTGATAAAGCTTATAGTTAGGGTGGCTCAGGTTATCCTGAGCTATCTCTATAGTTCTGCTGCTATAGGCTTAGACTGCTGGAGGACATAGGGACCCCTTTTTCATCATTCTATCTCTATTCTCCCACCCTGCAGAATCTGTTAGTTCAATCTCTAACGTTCTGCTCTCTCTGCTTTTTCTCATAGTAGCTTCATCTGGTCTGTTCCTGTTTGGCTGTGACTCCATCCTGGAGAGAAACATCAGCTGTGCTGCTGGATCAGAGGAGTGGCCATCTGCTGAGGCCGACTGTGGTTCAAGCATCAAATGAGACCTGATGATGTTTCATTTACTCTCCAGACTGAGCCCTACCGTTTTCCAGACGTGTCTCTGAGCCTCATGTATGTCTTTGCAGGACTTGTTCTGCTCACCTGAGCCATGAAGTCAGCATTTGCACTCAGCACCGTCTTCAGTCTCTGCGCCTCTTTGAGAAGCTTGGCCATGGCCCGGTGGTTCTCCCTCACATCCTTTGGACTCTTCTTCTGCTCATTGAACAGCTTGGCCAGGTAGTCTCGCAGTCGCAGGTCCATCTCAAAGCCCCCCAGAGTCCGATCAAACCTGCACCCAGAAGAAGAACCTTAGTTTGCGTGAAGGCAGAGCTGACTAGTGTTGCACCGATACCAGCATCGGGACCCGATCCAGAACTAAAATGGTGGTATCGGTATCTGCGAGTACCAACCAATAGGGCACCGATACCATTTTGAGAGCCAAAAGTTTATTCAACTATTAGCACCTATTACAGGTAGGTAATAAAAAGTTCTACTGGATTAATTTTGTTTTAGTCATTTTCCTGCTTCACAAAGGTAGGCAGCAGCTTGACATGAAGCCATGATGGTGATTATTTTACATCCAAGTAGTATGAAGTTCTTAATACACACACACACTACACCTCAATTTCAGACAGATGGTATCGGTATGATGCCGCTAACGGCCAGTTCTGCAGAGCCAGGTATCAGGTATCGGTATCGGGGCTAAAAAATGGCATCGGCGCAACACTACTTCAGACCCAGCTCACCCGACTCCTTGGATCTGTAGCTGCGGCTGGGTACCAAAATCTTTGGTTTTCACTGTCTGGTAGGTGACGATGGTGGCCGTGGTGCTGCCTGAGCCCATATCGTAAAACATGATGTTCTGGAAGGTAAGGGTCCAGATGTTTAGAGCTGTACAGGACCAGGAAGAGTAAACGGACACTGCTGGGTCACCTTGGGCGTGCCATCGATGTCCTTCCTCCTGAAGACGCCATAATTTAGGGCCACCGCCGTGTTGTCGTTGATGAGCTGAAGGACCTTTAGGCCGGCCATCTGTGCAGCGTGCAGGACTGCCCTCCGCTCTGCCTGGTTGAAGAAGGCTGGGACGGTGATGACTGCGTCTTTGATTGGCTGTTCTGGGAATTTCACAGAAGCACAAGAGGAAAAACTTCTACCTCTGGACGCTCCGATTGGCTTCACAAAGATGATAAGAGATGTCGGTTAAACTGACCTGCAAAGTCCTGAGCCAGCCCGCGGGAATAATTCAGCACCATGGCCAGCAGCTCCTCCGGGGAATAACGCATCTCTCTGCCAGAGAGGCGAGAAGAAGTTACAAAACCTGAACCAGCTGTCACTGTGACAACCATAGCAGCCCCCTGGTTGTGTTCAATAAGGGAATCACATGTTTTTCCAGCAGGGGGCGGTAGAGTCAGAACCCGAGGCAAAGAAAAGTACTCGTTATTCATGATTATAGGTTAATATCTGCAGAAATCTGCCAGGAAATCAGCCGCTATGTTTCAAACTTGCACCCAGACTAAAGTTCTGATCAGGTCCCGTCTCGGTCAATTCCACTGAGCCCAGACCAGGTTGTCATAGCAACATCCACATCCAGCCTGCTGCATGACCAGCTGTTAAGCTGCGTTCAAACCAAACGCAGCAGGAGCAGCTAAATCGCGTCTGCTGTTTAATTTTTTTATTCTTGTATCAATTTAGTTCTGACGCGCGGCTGAAGCAGCTTTGCTGCTCTGGCTGCGGTGGGCGGAGCTACTCTATCCTTTCTCTGCATTGCAGCTGTATTTTCTGTGATCAGTGGGAATAAAGTAGTTTTAATATGTTTTTAAGTGAGAAAATCCATCTGAAAACGTAATCAGTGCAGTCAGTTCATCCAGATTATCATCCTGCCTTCCAATATTATTTCTGTGGAGCCGCTCAGACCCCCACATACCAGCGGTGCGCTGTCAGTAGGATCCCATTCAACAGCATCCTATGGACCGGTTGCCTCTACGCTGTTCGCCGCGGCGGCTGGAAGGTGGTTTCCATGTACATAATCCACACTGCAGGCAGCAGGATAATAAAAGCCAACATATTCTGCCGGCAGGTTTCTACATTCTAAGTTTATTTAGGCGTTAATAAACTGTTTCAGAGGAGTGATCATAGCGCTCTGCATCAGCAGTGCTGATTGGTTGATGCGGCGCCTCCTCCAGCAGCTAAAGTTAAATCTTTCCATCTCGAGCAGCAGCTGCGTTTGCGGCGCGCGTTAGACGCTTAAACGCTCCCGATGACCTGCTTCAGCTGCTCAGACGCGCTGCAGGACATTTTGCTGCGCCTTGGCGAGTCAACTAGCTGCTCCTGCTGCGTTTGGTGTGAACGCAGCTTTAAAGCTTACAGCATTCCTACAGCATAAGGCAGGTTAAATTCAAGACTTTTTAAGACTTTTTAATGCCACTAGAAATAAAAATTTAAGACCAAATTCTCAAGAAAAACCTGCTTGCAACAACTTAACCTAAAGGTTTATTTTAACATAAACCACTGCACTAATGTCTCAAATGTTGAAAAGCTTCCCATACAGGAAGAAAGCTAAAAACACACAAATTATGGATATATTTGAACAATTATTTAACTGAATTCACAGTTGTAGAAGGTAAAACAAATCAGTTTTAAAGACACAACATAACCAGTGCTAAGTCTGTTTTGCAGCTATTTTTCTTTGTATCGTTTTCTTAGCATGTTTGATTTGGTGATAAGTGGAGGTGATAAAATCCACTGAGCCTCATGTGTGTTCCCTGGTTTTAACCATGGAGGAAACTCTTGGCTGGAGCATATTTGGTTACATTTAGACCTCCTCATATTTTCCAGATAAAAAGTTAACGGCGCATCTCCCAAATGTCCCGGCCACAACAAGGCTTTTATTGGTTCTGCTATTGGGACAGAACCAATAATGGAGAGCCATTTTTTTTTTTATAAAAAAAATTGTCAATTTTAAAGTTCTATTTAGATTACAAAAATAAATCGTAATAAAAATAATCCTATTTATGATGTTTTAAAATTAAGACCTACGAACGACTGATTTTAGACATTTTAAAACCAATTAAGGCCTTAGTTTTATTTGAAGAATTCAATGCCTTTTAAGACTTTTCAAGAACCCGGGGGAACCATGAGGAGAGAGCTGAGGCCCGATTCACCTTCAGACGGGTCAGAACCAGGACCAGCAGTCACAGCTTCCTGTCGACTATTTGGCTCCTTCTATGGACAGTAGGCTGACAGGAAAAGGGGAATGAGGGGGGGGGGGCACGTGGCGAACCCGGGTCGCCCGCATCTAAACTGAAGCCTAGCTAGCTAAAGCTAGCTTCTCCTTAAAGGACAAACATGTCAATGGAACCCTGGAGGAGCCTTTTCTCGTCTCTCCTGATTGCGCTGCGTCTCAGAGATGGAGGAGGACTCACTGAGAGCTGTTGAAGTAAACCGTTCCCCTCACTGGGTCGGCCTGCAGCTGATGCTCAGGAAAGCGCTTCTCATAGACCTTCACCTGGACGTTGTCCCGTTTTTTACCCAGAAGGCTTTGGAGATGTCTATAGACCGTCTTGGGAATCTTCACAGACTGAAAGAGAAGGTGAGCTGAATGAAGGGGGGAATCAGCGATGCTCCAGGATGATGAATCAGACTCGGATCATCTTACCACTCCTAAAGCGCTGTCTCCAAACAGTCGCTCGTTGTCCTTCAGACACACCACTGCTGGCGTTTTCCTTCTCGACTCCCTGCAAATACAGCCAGAGCATTTCAGCTGATCTGGAATCAGTTTGAACCTGCAGAAGCTGCTCTCCTCCGACCGCCATAAAGACGCTTCCTGCTCACCTGTTGAGAACGATCTCCATCGGTACTCCAGGTTTCACTATGGCCATTTTCATCCACTCGCTCCCAAGGTCCACCGACATGACGGCCACAGACTCTACAGACACAGAGAGCACGGTTACTGAGGGCTGGGGGGGCTGAGGGCCCCGCTGACCCCAGATCAGCCTGGTAGGGGTCCCACCAGGAGCCCCTTCTGTGAAAGGATCATTACCTGTAGAGGAGGGGAGAAGGACGACAAGGAGGGAGGACAGAGCGACCAGGGTCCCGATCCTTACTGCCATGATGAGCTGCAACCACACAAAAACATTTCAGACCAATCAGAAAGAGGAAATGATGTCATCAGCTAGCCTGATAAACACACTCAATGTGTAATCTAGTCTGGCCCCGATGAATGAGACATCTGAAGATTGTTGATGAGAAAAACACGTTTTTAAACCATGTCTGTTCCTATTGGCCAACGCTCTGACCAATGAGAGCCACTGACTGACGTAGGAAGCGCCACAGGAAGCTGGTGGGGGAGTGGAAACAAACAGCCTGTCGGTAAAACGGCGAATACGTCCTTCTTAAAATGAATGATGGTAGAGCCTCTTCCTGCTCACGGTTCAATGGAAACCCAAAGTCTGATCCTTCCAGAACCGAATCCAAATCTGAGTCAAACCAGAACTGTTCAATAGTCGCTTCCATCTTCCTTGTTGTGCTTTTTCCAACGTCGCACATCATTGTCGTCACGCCCTCTAAACCCCGCCCACTTTGCATCCAGACATTCAAAACATCTCTGCGTTGTGATTGGCCCGCCAGTTCTAGGGCCTGGGGCATTGGTCGAGGCTAGACCACTGCAGGGGAAAATTATTCTGGCTGCTGGTGGGAGGGGCTAGTTTACTAGGCTAATAATCAGCTGTCAGTCAAACAGAAAAACCAGCTGCTGCTGTTAAAGTGATTCAATCCATAAAGATGGAGTCAAAGTTTAGCCTCATTCTAGCATAACAGCAACTTTGGCTCCGCAGGTTCAGAGTGAAGAACGCCGACATGTTTCATTTACTGCTGTTAGCTAACTAGCTGTTAGCTAGTGGCAGTTAACGGGTCCATCCACATGGGGGGCACTGGGGGTTCATTCAGCTGGGGGTCTATCCAGGTGGGGGTTCATCCAGGTGGGGTCCATCTAGGTGGGGGTTTATCCAGGTAGGCATTATTGGGGGTCCATCCAGGTGGGGGTCTATCCAGGTGGTGATTACTGGGGGTCCACCCAGGTGGGGGTCTATCCAGGTGGTGATTACTGGGGGTCCATCAAGGTGGGGGTCCATCCAGGTGGGGGTCCATCCAGGTGGGGGTCCATCCAGGTGGTGATTACTGGGGGTCCATCCAGGTGGGGGTCCATCCAGGTGGTGATTACTGGGGGTCCATCAAGGTGGGGGTCCATCCAGGTGGGGGTCCATCCAGGTGGTGATTACTGGGGGTCCATCCAGGTGGGGGTCTATCCAGGTGGTGATTACTGGGGGTCCATCAAGGTGGGGGTCCATCCAGGTGGGGGTCCATCCAGGTGGGGGTCCATCCAGGTGGTGATTACTGGGGGTCCATCCAGGTGGGGGTCCATCCAGGTGGTGATTACTGGGGGTCCATCAAGGTGGGGGTCCATCCAGGTGGGGGTCCATCCAGGTGGTGATTACTGGGGGTCCATCCAGGTGGGGGTCTATCCAGGTGGTGATTACTGGGGGTCCATCAAGGTGGGGGTCCATCCAGGTGGGGGTCCATCCAGGTGGTGATTACTGGGGGTCCATCAAGGTGGGGGTCCATCCAGGTGGGGGTCCATCCAGGTGGTGATTACTGGGGGTCCATCCAGGTGGGGGTCCATCCAGGTGGTGATTACTGGGGGTCCATCAAGGTGGGGGTCCATCCAGGTGGGGGTCCATCCAGGTGGGGGTCTATCCAGGTGGTGATTACTGGGGGTCCATCAAGGTGAGGGTCCATCCAGGTGGTGATTACTGGGGGTCCATCCAGGTGTGTGTGTGTGGGGGGGCGGTTCATGGCTGCCCCTGCAGGCAGCAGCTGGTCTCTCTCTGATGGAGGAAAGTTTTTAACCCAGCGCTCAGCTCTAGATCCGGGAAGCAGCAGCCAGGACATCCGGCTGCAGTGAGCGAGGTTCCCCGGTACCTCTGCGGGACTGAGGAGCTCAAGTAGAGGCAGGAGAGCAGCTAGCTGACCGGAAGCGGAGCGGGAGCTTACCTTCTCCAGATGAAGCGGTTGTTCTGGGCTTCCTGAGGAGGATTCTAAGCGGAACTGATAGCAGGCGGTCCCTCCAGGACTTTAGGCTCCTTTATCAGCGGCGGACTGAGGCCCTGAACGCGGCGTCACCTCATTGGATCCAGCCAACATGCAGCCGGTGGAAACCTGCCGTCAGGCTGACCATATTTAGACACAGCCCTTCCGGTTAGCCTGAAAACACAGCGAGCACGGGCGGAGTCTGATTGCGCAGCTCTACCTGGAAACCTTAATAAAACAGCAGCAGCTGGAGACTTAAGCTGATGACGTGATCTGGGCTCTAAATGAAGCCACAGAACTTTATTCTCATTAGACAGAAGAAAAACATGCTTTTATTGTGAAAGGAGGCGTTTTCATTTCCGGTACCTAACTTCTGTTCTTCTGATCTAACCGGCACCGCTTAGCCCCGCCCACTAAAAGCCACGCACTGTTGGATGATTGGTCCACGAAACGTGATCGAAGCTGAACTCTGACTGAGGTCGCCTCCCATTGGTCCACGACATGCGTGACGACGTTTCCTGGTGACGTTTTACTAGAACCAATCAGATTAAAGTTAGAAAAAAGGAAAAGGCAAAGAAAGACCTGATTAGGAAAAGTTGCTGTAATGAATGAATGACAATAAAATAAACTTTAAAGCATTAAATGGAGCTAAAAGCAGAAACATTTAACTGTCGTCATTTATCGCTGTGAAATTATGCTGATTTTCATCAATGTTTATTTAATAAAGTTCAGTTTAAATGAAAGCATGTATCAGTGAAGGAGGTTTTAATAAGTGGTTTATTGGTTTTTCTGATCAAACATTTCTAATAATAGAAATATTTGTGGCAGTAAATGAATTGTTGCAGTAACTCCTGGGGAGTTTTATTAATGATCTATTATTGATGCTGTCGGCTGGATTGATCTCCTGCAGCAGAGGCGTAGCCACAACATTTTTATAAGGGTGGCCAAACAATAACCAATGTACACCGAGGGGTGGCTGACGGTGGACAGACGCCAGAAGCTCAGGGTCATTGGATCTCTTTTATCCGTTGGTTGTGCTGTTCTTTTTACATCTCTTTGCAGATGATGAAGCAAATGTTTTATCTCCTCTTTCTTTCATCTTTTCTCATATTTATTCCTTCCCTGCTCTACTTACTTTGCACTGTCCCTATAATCTGTAAAACTCCCTGATGAATAATAATAAAGCTATTTATATGCATTAATCAAGCGGAACACTATGCGGATAGCCGGACTGCTCCACTTGTCTTGAAGCCAAATCTGTTGGCTTCAAGACAATTATTGTTATTCCCACATCGTCAGACAGGACACTGTTAAATAAAATAAAATAAAAAAACACCTCAGGGTCAATCTAAACTGTTCCGACAGGAAAATTAACAAGCAAAACCTCCACATTTTCAAAATAAAGACAAACTACACTTTCCTGCAGCCTTTGCTAACAAAAGGCTGCAGATATTTAAACATTCATGCTAAACGGTAGATTGGATAAAGTTCTTTCAGGTTTGATTTCTGGGGCAAACATCTTTTCCATTTTCATTATTAACCTACTTTTATCAATAATCATTCTGCATAAAATTTATATTTATAAGCACATATATCTACATAAATTGATTATTTAATAAGTTTTTACTAAAATAGTTATTCATCTGCAGTGTTGGGCACGTTACTCTGAAAAAGTAATTAGTTATAGTTACTAGTTACTTCTCCCAAAAAGTAACTGAGTTAGTAACTGAGTTACTCCACAATAAAAGTAACTAGTTAGTAGTAAAAGTAACTATTGCATTACTTTTGCGAGTGTATGAAATTAATAACTGGGGATGTCTTATTCTGAAATCCTGTGTTTGGGTTGTTATAGATACTGCAACATGTAGCTCTATCTATCTATCTATCTATCTATCTATCTATCTATCTATCTATCTATCTATCTATCTATCTATCTATCTATCTATCTATCTATCTATCTATCTATCTATCTATCTATCTATCTATCTATCTCATCCTTCTTTCTTTCTCCATATAAGCTAATGATCGTTCACGCTCTCCATAGTTCTCCTGTGGCGCGAGCACAGGGTGGCTGTTACGCGCCTTTAGAGAGCATGCGCGTTTCCTGTCGCTTGCGCAGTGACTCATGCCGCCTGCGCTGTGCGGAGATGCACAGCGTAACACCAGTATTTCCATCTGGAAAACGCTGTTTTGCCGCTGGAGTCCTCCTCACTCTCCATCCTCCCATCTCTCATGACGCACGCACGAGTCCTATCATGAAAAAAGGTTCATTTTGCGACCTGAGTAACGCGCAGTAACGGGGTGTCGGCAATTGTAACTGCGTTATAGTTACAGTAAGAGTAATAATCTTGATTACTCATTACTAAAAAAGGTATCGGCGTTACTCCCATCACTGTTCATCTGTGATTTCACTGAAGACTCCTAGATGACTTGCAGAGACATTTTATTTTTATCATTTTACCCCATATAACACTAAATGTAGTTCTGAAAAGAGCGTGAATTCTGTACTTATGTTTTATCTTAGTATATTGATGGGCAGAATTAACCACATAAAATTTAAATGTTTTGAATATTCCACTTGAGAATATAACTGTTGCCACCATCTATGTTAGAAGGAATGTGGCATAAATATAAATGGTAGGGGTGGCCATATGGGTGGCCAATGATTGGCTGAGGGTGGCCACGGCCACCCCTGGCCCTCCATCTAGCTCCGCCCCTGTCCTGTAGAGGTCCGTCTTCCATGGGACGAGGCCTCTGACCAAAGACACTGATGGTGTCTATCACCGTCCATCTTCTTCGCTTTATGAACCGTCCTCCTCTGTGAATCCTCTCCAGATGTTCTAGAGGAGTTCCTCCAGCAGAGCCGAGTTAAAACGATTCACGGAGAGTTTGATCTCCATCAGGCATGCAGAGTCCCGCCCTCTGCTGCCACCGCCAGGCTCTCCTTGCCGCCTGCTGGAATAGTTTGTATTTTAATGAAAAGATGTTTGGGATCGACATCAAACAGCGAGTAAACTTCCAGTCCAGGAAAACACCTCCTAGTCTGACTAGTTAACCTGTTAGCTGCTGTTAAAGCCTGATGATCAACATGTCCGCTCTGCTCCTTCATTCCAGCAGTATGATGCAGCAATCTCCCCACTTATACACAAAATAGCTGCAAGCATCTGAATTTTATAAGCTTTGGTGCTTTTATTAGACAGTATTGGGATGTCAGGGCAGTCTACAGACACTGCTGGCTCAGTCTTCTAGAGGCGGACAGCTGGAAGGTGGAGGGAGCAGCACCACCTGCTGGTCCGGCTGATAATGGAAGCAGGAGAGTGAATGGCAGAGGAGGGCAGGATGTCCATGTGACTGTGGGCAGGAGAGGAAGATGCTGAGCTTGCTCCTGAACTGAAGGACGGATCCAGACCATCTGATCATCTTCCTGCTGGAAGCCTCAGATCTTCTTCATCTCTGATCTTCTGCTGGAGCTTCTTTTCCAGCCTCTTTGATCTTTAGCTGCTTCTCCTCATTAATTCCCCGTCTTCCTTCTTAAAGGCAGTTTGTTCTTGCTCAGCAGTTCCTTCAGATCACCTGTGATCCATGGTTTATCATCATCTCCCTGTCCTGTAGGGATGCTGTTATCTACAGGTAGTCAGTCATACATTGTTGTTCTGGTGGATCTGATCCCGTTTCACGACTTAAATCTTAAACCCTGAATTGATCGACCCTGAGGTTGGTTTCATTACAGCTAACACTTTATCAGCCTTCCTAATCAATCTATTTAGAAAGGCCATTACTCTGGAAACTCCATAGCTGACTGTCGGTATTTCACAATAAAAGCACAGGTAACATTACCGACTGCTGCTACACCGTTCTCTATCCATAATGTTAGGAAAAGCCCCAGAAGTGCTGAAACAGCAGATCTCTTTGGTTCATGCAGAGCTGCGTCTGGATGATGGCTGATTTGAATGATCGGAGTCTGAAGGACGACCACCAGTCCTTCCAGCAGCTTTTAATGTGACTAAAGCCACCTTAAAACGGCTACTTTAAAGCCTCTGTGGTTTAATTCCATGTGAATCTCACCACAGACACCGTGCTCAATCTGAAGGCACATCAACAGCTCAATGACCAGCAGATTAATCAGAAATATACCTGAGCTGCTATGTCCCTGATGTACCGGAAGGCTGGAGAGCCATCACCCTAATCTTTGGTCCCCTCCATCATCACATTAAAACAAGCTGATCCCCCTTTAACTCAGAGGAATCAATAAAAACAACTAAATCAGCTGGATTATCGCGTTTCCACAACATCCATCATCCATCCATCCATCCATCCAACATCATCCATTCATTCATCCATCCATCCATCCATTCATCCATCCATCCTCCACCCATCCATTCATTCATCCATCCAACCACCATCCAACATCATCCATTCATCCATCCATTCATTCATCCATCCATTCATCCAACCACCATCCAACATCATCCATTCATCCATCCATTCATCCATCCATCATTCATTCATTCATCCATCCATCCATCCATCATCCATTCATCCATCCATCCATCCTCCATCCATCATTCATCCATCCATCCATCCTCCATCCATCATTCATCCATCCATTCATCCATCCATCATCCATCCATCCATCCATCCTCCATCCATCCATCATCCATCCATCATCCATCCATCCATCATCCATCCATCCATCCTCCATCCATCATTCATTCATCCATTCATCATTCATTCATCCATCCTCCATCCATCATTCATTCATCCATCCATCATTCATCCATCCATCCATCCTCCATCCATCCATCCATCCTCCATCCATCATTCATTCATCCATTCATCCATCCATCCTCCATTCATTCATCCATCCATCATTCATTCATCCATCATCCATCCATCATTCATCCATCCATCCATCATTCATCCAGCCATCCATCATTCATCCATCCATCATTCATCCATCCATCCATCCATCATCCATTCATCCATCCATCCTCCATCCATCATTCATTCATCCATCCATCCTCCATCCATCATTCATTCATCCATCCATCCTCCATCCATCATTCATTCATCCATCCATCCATCCATTCATCCATCCATCCATCATCCAACCACCATCCAACA